GAAAGAACTGGGTCAGCTAATACGGGTTAAATTTTACCCTGCGATAACTTTCTCAGCTGATGCCTCGGGCATGGACTCGTGTTTGGGGGAGCGTTGCCACTCGTGGCCGTGGGCATCGCCTCTTAGACAGGGCTTGTCACTACAGCGGAGTCAGCAGAAACAACCGCGTGCCCATGCCGTTGCTTCGCTTCAGGGTATATCAGCATAAACACATTTTTCTTTGCGGTTTAGGCTAAGACACTGTGATGTGACGAGAGTGGCTGGAGCGTGGGGATCCGTAGCAGAGTCTCTTCTGCTGATGCTGCTATGGGGGGTAGATGACTCCAGCTAACGTTGGTGGCAATCAGCTGAGACTGGCAGCGTCTTACGGCAGGGGCCCTTGACGCACATTCACTGATCTCATACAACACATTCATCACATAGATTATTCCATCTGTGTATCATCGGTCAGTTTAGAAAAAATGAGGTTTTTAACAGCCTGTTTGTTGTATGAAACCAAATTATGCTTCCTTCATGCTTTTCTACCTTATGCACATCAACGTACAGAATCAGAGGGATAGTAATTGCTCTTACGTGGTTGTATTTTTAACTTCCAGAAATGGCAGAAGTTTTTTGAATAAGCTTCAAGAAAAGCTTGGCCTAAGTCTGGGCTGAAATTTGGCTGGTTGACTGTTCTCCAGAAATATAGCTCTGGAAAAATTATAAGCTGAAAAACGTTTTTCAGCCTAAGCACATTTCCACCTTCCTACATCTGTTTTTACATGCTTTGACTGTGGCATTTTGGGCCAAGTTGCGCATGTTCCAGAGCTGATTTGCACAGACCAGCTCTGGCAGCAGGAAAAAACCTGCCCTATGATTTGTCTTGAACAGATACCTGTTGTGAGCAGAGCAATTCTTGTGAAAAGGTGTGTCAGCACCAGGGGTTCCTGCAGGGTACACCTCTCCGTGCACTCCGCAATAGCAGTGCCAGCTAATTTCCCAGCGTTACTAACTCTGTCCTCGCTCGGAGCACTGTCAGAATCAGCGGTAAAAATTTTATGAGCAGAATGTAAGGTTGGTTCGAATGAGTACTCTTATTTTGGTGCTTTGTGCTCCTTTTTCAATTGTTTTACTCCGTAAATACAGGTTATTTATTTTGTCTCTTACCCACATAGTTATCAGGAGCAGCAGTCTAAGTCTCCCGGTGATTAGTGTGGCTATCTGAGTCTCCAGGAAAAGCCACATCACCACTACGATTACTTCTGCTGATATTAATTTTAGAAACGTGTTCATGAATAAACCTAAGGACCAATCATTTGCTGACAGAAGAACAAACCATAAACAGTGCTGGTTTAAAAATATGTTTGGTTCAGATGCTGCATAACGTGCTTCTTTCCCTGCCTTCCCTTCCAGGTGATAGAAGACAACACCGGCGTTCGGAGGGTGGTGGTTACCCCCCAGTCTCCCGAGTGTTATCCTCCTAGCTATCCTTCGGCCATCTCTCCAACCCATCACTTACCTCCATACCTGACGCACCATCCCCATTTTATTCACAACTCTCATACAGCTTTTTATCCTCCTGTCACTGGACCTGGGGACATGCCACCACAGTTTTTCCCACAGCATCATCTTCCCCCAACAATATATGGAGAACAAGGTGAGCTGGAAGGAAGGTACTGGCATTTCACACCTGTGTTCGGCAAGTTTTAAGGACTAGTGAAAGCGAGAGTGGAAATTAATTGGAGTGGCTTTGCCCACGTGGAAGGAGCCTCCTTCTTTAACGTCCGGAGCAGGAGAGCACCGGGAGGTGTAGCCATCCAGAGTGCAGCAATGCAGGACAATCCTGTGTTGCAACACTAGGTTGCAGAAACAAAACCAATTTTAACTTAATTTATGAATACAGTGGGGAAAAAATGTCTCATCCCATGCTCCAAACCAGGGACATGAGTCATGCCGATTGCTCTTGCTGCATCACGGTGCAGCATTGTACAGAAAACCAAGAGACAAAATGTGTCAGTCGTGGCTTGGGAATGAGGATGGATACAGAGGGCTGGATCCGAGCATGGCTCGCCGCAGTCATTTCCAGTGGGAAAAGCTGAATACCGCTTCCTCTTGGCTGTAATGTGCCTTCTGCCCCCCGGCCATGGTTTTCCAAGAAATAATAGGCATTTTCTGTTTGTTATTCTGGTTGAGACTGTGCAGTAAGTCACTGAAAAGCATTGTCCGATACCACAGGGTAGCATGGCAACCCTAATCAGGCCATGAGTAAATAATTGCGAGAAAAGGAGTGAAAGGGGCATATTTCTGTCTGAATTATGCACTGTGTCTGTGCCACCCTGGAGATAAGTCTTTGTGTAATCTGAAAGAGGGCGTTAACCAAAAAAGTAATCGGCAAAGCTACTTGAGATGTTTGCCATGGAAATCAGTTCGGGATTCATGGTTTTACATTACCGCTGAACTACCTGGAGTTAAGACCCTTTCTAAAGAATGCGTTTAAGCCATATCACCAGAAGTGAGGTTCTGCTGGAGTGGGAAGGAAGGGGCAGAAGGCGAGGGAGGTATCTATGGATGTTCTCTTGAAGTTCCTGTTGACCAACAGACCTCACTTTCTAGTGAGGAATGGACCCTTCCAGCTGACATTTAACTTCATTATACTGGGGGATGAGGAAATGGGAAGCTCAAGAAACCAGCAGGACGGTGAGGCCAGCCAGATACACAGGGAAGGGACTTCTCTCCTGAAAAGGGAACGGGACAGTTTGTCAGATTGCTTGGCAAAGCCTTGTGTGCAAACATGGTAGTGTGCGAAGTGAACACAGGGCTGCTAGTTAAGTAGATGTTGAATACTTCGGTAGCCTGGAGTATACCAAGAAGCCGATTCAACTTGAAATTAAAAATTTAAAAAAAAAAAAAAAAAAAAAAAAAAAAAAAAACCTTGGTTGTTTTTTTGGAATGACCTATATTTTTAACACCAC